ATATGGTATCATATCATCTGCTAAGAGTGATAGTTTGACTTCTTCTTTGCCGATTTGGATGCCTTAAGTTTCCTTTTGTTGTCTGATTGCTGAGGCTAGGACTTCTAGTACTATGTTGAATAGCAGTGGTGATAATGGACATCCCTGCTGTGTTCCTGACCTTAGTGGAAAAGCTTTCAGTTTTTCTCCATTGAGAATGATATTTGCGGTGGGTTTTTCATAGATGGCTTTGATAATATTGAGGTATGTGCCCTCTATCCCTACACTTTGAAGAGTTTTGATCAGGAAGGGATCAAAGCCTGCCTCTCTGCCTACTTGTGATCTCTGTCTGTCAAATAAATAAATAAAATCTTAAAAAAAAAAAAAAGAACTTGAAACCACAGCCAGGGGTGTCAGAAAAGGGTCACAGGTCGGGCCGAGATGGGTTCAACCTGGACGTGCAAGGTCCGGCCGGAATGAAGGATGCCAGCAGTCACAGTGTCACAGGAAAGGGAACAGGCCTCTGTGGTTATCTGAGTGGCTGTGGGGACCGGCAGCGGGAGGGCATCCTTGGCTGGCCTGGGTCTGCAGCTGCCACCCTACTTCGGCCCAAGGAAGCGGGGTGAGGACGGCCCCCCTTCTGCTCCTGGGCGCCACTACCTTGGAGCCAACGTCTGAGTGAACATGATGGGAACAGGGAAAACCCAGAAACTGGAAGATTTGGAAAGGAAGAAAGAAAAGTGTCGCTGTTTATGGGTGGTGCATCCCCGAGGAGCTGGCAACCACTTGGGCAGGACTGAGGACACTTCTGTCAGGTTTCTGGGTGGGAGACCAGCCCTTAGGCCAAGTTCCTGGGGCAGCTCTGACCAATGAGGCACAGGCGCTCGTGGAGGAGGTCGCAACCCGTGTTCATGGGAGAGGACGGAGACACGTGCTTGCAGGTGGAAGGCGGGGTATTGTGAACACGCCGCCTTCTCCCCACCACCCCTGGGGTTCACGGTCAACGCGGCTCCGAGCAAAGCCTCACAGCCCGGCCGCTCCTATGGGACGGGCCACAGGCTCACCCTGCTGGCGGCCAAGATGAAGAGGAAAGCCAGAGGTCCCAGGCAAGACTTGGGGAGACATGTTGAGGGTCCCCAGGAGGACTCAGCATGGAGTCATGCTCACGGGGCACAATCAGCGCGCGGACGAGAGGCACAAGGAGCCCCCAGGGCGGTGCTGCCGTCCCACTCTGCTCCTACACGGCCACGCCACAGGGAGCGCCATCTCTGGGGACAGCCGTGGACACGGGGCGCCGGACACCCGTCCCGGTGCTGGGCACACAGGCACCCCCACAGGCACCCGGACGCTGACTCCCGGACAGACACCCCGTGTGCAGGAGCCACCGCCTTGGGCGGGGGACCCGCCTCGCGGGCAGGCTGGGCTAAGGACCGCGTCGGGCTCAGCGATTTCCTCACGAAGCTCCACATGGAACTGGAGGCTCGGCAGCTGGTGAACGTGGCAAAGATGCCCGAGACGGGCAGGCGGGCCCCCGTGGCAAAGGGGACTCATGCCGTCCCTCAGCTACCTGCAGCGGGACGGCCCGGGGCTCGCTCTTGGGGCAGACAGAAGCTCTCAGTCCCCATGCGACCGTGAGCGGGAAACGCGGCGCCCACACCCATTCCTCCTCTGCCACTTTGCCCGGCACAGTCAGAGCAGCCGCCAAGCCGACATCCTCGTCACTTGGACGTAAACGTCCGGAGGTGGCAGACGCATGTTCACCCGAATCTCTCCTTCTACAGGCACTCGGCTACGGGCATCCACAGGCCGGCCACAGACTACTGGGGACGCTGCTCCCATGGGACACAGTGCTTTCCCACCTCACTGGACTCGAGGACCAAGCCAGAGGTCCCAAACCCCACGCAGAGACCGCATCCTGAAGACCATCCTCGGGAACCACTTCTGGCCCCAGTGGGTCAGTGAGGGTCACCCCAGGAAGCAGCAGCCGTTGGGGGTGTAAGTGGGGATCTGGCCAGGTGCACCGGAAGTCCGCTGCCTGTCAGGGGCAGGTCACAAGCCGTGGGATCGCTACGGACACAGACTTCCTCTGTGCATTCTGGCTTACACAGAGGGACTGCAGGCTCAGGCTTGGTGGAGACCAGCAAGACCCCCACTAGCCTTCCGTAAACTCATTCTCTGTCCTCTGTGTGGCCAGGCCCAGCCCCCAGCAGGCCACGCTTCTGGAATCAAGCACTTGGTTTCAGCATCTCTCATCGTGCACCAGACTGAGACTTCCCGCATCGCCTGACAAGACCTTCCCCAGCTGACCCCTGTCCTCTCCCACTCGAGGCCCCAGGTGTGGAGGCCTCCTCCGTTGTGGGCAGCCTGCCCGGCGAGTGAGGGACACAGTGCCACCGTGCTCCCTCAGTGTCCACCTCCCTGCAGGGAGCACACCCCCCACGTCCCTGGGCCTCAGTGGCAGAGCGCCCTTTCTTTTCCAGAACGTGCTTGTCAGTGTACTAACATGCATGAGACGAACGGCATAGCACGTGGCACACTCTTTCGTACAACCTGCTTTTTTCTCTTTTTGTGGAGGCAGAGCTGTGTGCACATGGGGCCGGGGCAGAGGGAGAGAGAGAACCCTAGGCAGGTTCCACACTCGGTGCCAAGCCAGACACGGATCCAACGGAGTCACCCACATGCCCTCGACAACCTGCTTTTGTACAAAACACACAGTTCATCGACTCAGGAGGTTTGATGGGGAAACACATGATTTGGAAAGATCCATAAAGGAGGACACCAAACAGTGGAAGGGTTCCAGCAGCTCCCACTGCCAGAAGTGCTCTCTCCAGAAGGTGCCCGAGGGCCCAGCTGCAAGAAGACACAGCCCTGTTCCGCCGCCCAGAGCGTCTACACCCGCTGACGAGCGGCGTGAAGTCTCCCACTCTGGAGACATGTACTGAAAACCAGAATTCCTTAAAAGCTTGGATCAAAAGGTCTACTTGCACCAAGTTAAAGGGATTTTGGAAGCTATGGCTGACACCGGCCACGGCCCAGGTCTGGCTCACACCTCCCTGGTGTGTGGCACCAAGTATGACCACCCACTAGTACCGCCTCCCGGGCCCCCAGGAACGGGGAGGTCCGTGCGTTTTTAGTCCCGTGTGGGCTGGCTGCACATTCCAGACCCTGCCTATCTCACACCTTCAGCGCCTTCCACTTGCAGTCCCCCAAGGCTGGCCAGACTTCTCTCGGGGAGACCCCAGCCCCCAAGCCTGCAGCCACTACTTGATTTCCAAGCTCCTCGGCATGGCAGCCACTGCTAACTCTCGGTGTCGCTCTGCGGCAGGCTGGTCCTGCCGGTCCCGCTGGCTCCCTGCTTAGGGCTCACGCCAAAATCAGGCTGCTGGCAGCCACGCTCTGGGGAAGAACCCACTTCTGGGCTCCCAAGGGGCCGGCAGGATCCAGTCCCCTGCCTGACAGGGGGCCTCGGGCACACTGGCACCTTCCCAGGTCTGACTCCGACTCCTGCCTTCTGTTTCTGCTCCAAAGGCTCATGTGACCACACTGGGCCTACCTGAGTCATTTAAAATAATCTATTTTAAGGTCAGTTGGTTAGTAAATTAATGTCTTTAAATCCCATTTGTCATGCGATGTAGAAAGTCAAACACAGCAGAGTAAGGAGCAGGAAAGCTGAACCCGGCCCCTGGTTCGCTGGAAGCCCCGTGAACTCTCTCGGGGGCCAGTGGGAGGGCACCTCCCCCACACCCGGCTCTGGAATTCCGTGACCCGAAAGACCCGAAAGGCCTGGCGCGGAGTCCCCAGGCTGGCCGCCTTGGTCTCAGCCCCCCGCAGGCTCAGCTCAGCCGGGTTGGAAGCAGTGGCCGGGGCTAAGCCGACACCACCACTTCCTCCCTCAGACGCCAGGACTAGGCCTGTGGGAGAGACAGCCCATGAGGGGCCAGAGCTGGGGGAGAGCTGGCATCCTGTCGTGAGTGTCCGCGGCTGGCCAGGCCGGACCTGTCCTCCCCCAGCTCTGGCCCCTCCCTCCTGTAGCCTCAGCACCGGGGCGGTGGGGGGTGGGGGCGGCCGGCACAGGGCAGGTCCCCGCTGCTCTCCTGGCTTTGGCGGGTTGGGTGGCAGGAAGTGCCCCCCCCCATGGGCTGGCAGCATCAGGGCACCTGGGCCTGGTGCAGACGGGTGAGAGCCATGGCCCCCTTTGCTGCAGGACCCTGGTGGCACACCAGGCCCACGGCTCTGTGGTCTTGGTGCAGCAGCCTGCCATCTGCTGAGCCGGGGGACCCTCTGTCAGACACATGTTTGCAAATGCATAAAAGAAACCACATACAAACAATAACCATGACAGGGCAGCCCTGTGTGTCACATGCGGCAGCATTGCTAGAAGCAGCCCAGGTGACTGTCCCTCGTGCAGGGAGGGCGGGGACACCGCCACGGTCCACTGTGAACGGAGCACTACGGGGGCCCAAAACAGAATGAAGCACGAACACACGCTACAATGACCGTGAGCCCTGAAAGCGCGGCGGCGGATGAATGAGGCCAGCCTTCCAGAACAAGCGCCGGCGCGGGCAGAACCGCAACCATGGCCGAGACAATGTCCTCAGAGCGGCTGTGGCTGGTTGTGGTTGGGCAGAAGGCCGGTGGATGGAACACTCAGCTGGGGGACCCGTGTGTGGCTTTGCCCCCACACGCCACATCCCAACCCCAGAATTCTGAGACCCGCCCACCCAGGTTCTCTCCGTGGCCCCAGGGGCTGGTGTCCCCCCAAGCAGGGCCCCACCACGGCTGTGAGCAAAGCCCCCTTCTGTGCAGTGTCTCCAGGGGCCACAGGACAAGGAGCGGACGGTGGGGGCCTGCCCAAAGGAGCAGAGAAGGTTCCCGCCAGCAGACCCCAGGGCCGGGCAGCCCTGGACCCAGGGGAGCCCCGTCCTCCGCCCCGAAAACTTCAGACACGATTGCTGCTCCCAAAGGACAGGGAGACAGAAGGGCCCGGAGCCCCAGGTGGGTGGGCACGAGGCCCCACTCACCTCCGCAGCCCTGCGGTGGTCCTCGCCGGCGCCCAGCGTCAACACGTCGGCCCCCAGGCATCGCAGGCTCCGGGCCAGCCCATGGAGCATGCTGTCACACACTGCACGGAACGCCCTGACGGGGACCTCAGGGGCGGTGTCCTGCTTCTCAGCCACAGGCTCCTGCCACACGGCTTGGCTCAGCAGCCCGCGGGCCCCTGACCCCCTCCCTGGTCTTGATGGGGGTGAGAGCTCTGAGGGCCGAGCCTGAGAAGAATCAGGAGCCGTTGTGCTCAGTGAGGGGAGAGCAGAACAGATTAACACAAGGATGCACGACCACTGCCCCCGGGGCCCCAGCAGGGCTTCCGCATGGGTCTGGGGGGTGGGGGATTTGTGCACAGCACAGCAGGGCAAGGGGCTCAGGGTGCATGCCAGATACTGCCCTGGACCTCAGCGGGAGCAGCTCAGGCCTGGCATCAGGAGAGGGCTGGGGACTCCTCCTCTTCCAGGACACTGGCCTGGGGCCCTGCTTCTCTCCGGGTGGAGGGACCCAGGCCCTCTTGGAAGCAGCTGACCGCCCCCACCCCAGGCCTCCTCCCTTGTAAGGACCTCATTCTAAGGACAGTGAGTCTTCCTGAGAACTCGAGGGAAGGGACCTGAGGGGCCACACTCACCGGCCAAGCCAAGGCTGAGGCCTCCTGCAGGCCGGGCGGCTCCCAGGCCTCTGACCTCTCACTGCTCGCTGGCCTCAGGCTCCTGGCTAGGTCCTCAGACAGGCAGAACCGGGCAGGTTCTCTGCACAGAGCCTGGTACACCTCCAGCAGGCAGTAGGCATCAGCAGCTGGGGGCACGGGGCAGTCTTAGCCTCCAGCTGGGGGGCGCGGGGCTGTGGGGCAGGGGCGTGTGCGGGAAGGGAGAGGGTGCACACCTGCGTACACCAGCTGCCCCTCACTCGGCGGCCGCCGGTCCCAGTTAGAGAGCTGCTGCGCCTTGTCCAGGGGCTTGCCCAGAACCTGCTGCACCAGGAGGCTGAGGCCCCGCAGCCCCGTGGCCTCACCTCTGCCTAGAGCTGGCTTATCTCCCACCCGCATCTGCCAAGACAGAGCCTCTCAGGGGGTGAGGGGCCTGCCCTGGAGGAGGGATGGCCACCACTCGTGCCATCACTGTCGCACAAAGGGACCCTGCCTGGGGAAGGCCCTCAGCCTCGACAGCCACCGCGCACAGAAGGAAGGACACAGACGCCCCGGCAGGCAGGCGCAGGGACTCAGAAGCACGGTGACCTGCCCGCAGGTCAGCTCTGGGGCTAACAGCTTAGTCCCCAAAATGTGCTGAGAACTCCAAGGGGCCCGAAGCAGGGCTGGTTCTGGGGAAAGCGTGGGGACATGTGGTGACACCCACTCCTGGGAGGGCCCTGGTGACCTGGGCAACTGCAAGATGCTCCGAGGCCGGAGTGCTCCACAGACGCCTGTGCTAAGGGCCCCTGCCCCCAGCCCCCGCCCCGCTGACCTGCCTGTGCACCTGCAGCAGATCTACACTGTCCCGCAGCTGCTTCTCCATGTGAGCGAGGGCAGGGCAGGAAGCACCCAGGCTCCGAAGGTCCCCTGACATCCCGTAACCTGCGGGGAGGGCGGTCCATGTGACGGGCACCTAAGGAAGGGGTCCCGGCCTCGAGCCAGCACCCTCCCCTGGGGTGGCAGGAGCTCTGCTTACCCAACTTAGTGATGGAGGGATCCGAGAGCATCTGGGAGACCAGCCTGGAGAAGGCCTGGGACACCTGCCCTCCCACTGGCCGTGAGAGCACAGGCAGGTCCAGCAGGAACACATGGCCCTTCACCGCCAGCTGCAGGATGGATGCCTGGGGCCGGCCCCCTGTGCCAAATGAGGGTCGCCACTCCGGATCCACAGCGAGCACCTGGCCGGGCTGTAGAGAGCTGGGATGAGCAGGTGAGGCCCCCCCGGGGGCCACAGGCCTGGGGCTGAGGGCATAGCCCCGCTGAGGGTGAAGTCGAAGGGAGGCGGTCTGCTGGGGCGGCCTGACCACCCTGTGGCTCCTATGAGACAGGGGCTGGGCCTGGCCCTTGGCTGCCCCTTGTTCCACACAGAAGGGGACAAAGGACTCCTTCTGGCCTCCTCCGGTGCAGACCAGCCGTGGCACAGGTGTGGAGCTGCCGTAAGTGGGGGGTCAGAGCCTAACGGCCATGGGCAAGTGCCCAGTGCTGGTGCTTAGGCCCGGAGTCTCCCAGCCGGCTCTACGGGGGCGTTTAGGGGGGTGGGATGGAGGGCCTCCTGGTTCACGGTGTGGACAGAGCCCCCAGAGCCAGCCACCCACCTGCAGGAGCTCCTCCTCATGCCTGGCTAGGTCCTCCCCGGAGGCCGGGAAATGGATGTCCCCGCTGGCGATGGGCAGCTGGTAGACATCATCCCTTCGGCTCTCGGAACGCACCTCAGCAGCCCTACCAGAAGCATGGCTGTGGGTCCCTGCACCCACCCCCCCTCCCCAGCCCTGCCCTTTCTGGCCCAGCTGGCCCAGGGCAGACCTTGGAGAGGTGGGGGGGAGAGCTCTGGGGGCACGTCGGGGGCTAGCAGTGTCCTTCCCCAAACTGCTGACATATGGGCCTCACGGGGCCATTGCCAAGGGATGGGGCCCAAGCGCCTGCTCCCCTCACTGGCCTGCCAAGCCTGGGGTGCTTACCGCCCCTGGAGTCTGAGCCGGGGGAGCTCAGCGGCCACGAGGCTGGCAGCTGTGCCTCAGGCAGCAAGAGGTCCAGGGCGCACTGGGCGGCCACGGCCTGGTTGTCGGGAGAGGCCAGCCACCGCAGCAGCTCGTCCTGCAGCTGGTCGTCCTGTCCCACCAGGGCCTGTGGGGCACGCGGGAGGGGCTGTGCAGCCTGGCTCTGCCCTGACAGGGGCGGACAGTCCCCCAGGTCCTCCCACGCCGCCAGCCTCACAAGTCCCTAAACGGGGGGCTATGCCCTGAAGGAAGGCCACAAAAGCTCCCATACCCGTGGCTCTGTGCCGACCCCGCAGTTGAGCGAGCGCCCCTGCGTGGCTGGGCTGAAGGCTCGCCGTCCTGTGTCCACAGCCCAGCCCAATGGCCTCGCCCCATCTGTCCGTCTCTAGGCCCTAGTCCCGCACAGTCCTGCCCCCAGACCTGGGACCAGCCCTATTCTTCTAGAACGTTGCCTGGCTCTGCTCCTCTCCGCCCTCGCGTGGTGGGGCCTGCTCCTGAGCCTCGGGCTGCCCTCAGGTCTCCTGGCCCCCGCCCCTGGGCTGGCCAACATTCTCGGGGGAAGGCGGGCCCGTGCGACACTCCTGAATCCACAGTCCAGAGAGTGGACACAGGCAAGCAGCCCTCAGGGTAGCAATGAACATGGGGCCTCACCAGGCTGTGTCTCCCACACCAGTGGCCAGCACAGAAGCAGAGGGACCCAGGCGGCCCCTGGGTGTCCCACCCGTGTCAGCTCAGTCCCGGGACACCCAGGGGCCACCTGCACCACCAGGGCCCCGAAGGAGGGTTTCCATCCTGGCTGAGTCCCTGGGTCCACAAGGTCAGAGGCTGCTGTAACTCAGGTGGGAGGGGACTGGACCCCGTCCTCCCGGGAGGCCGAGCCTCTCTCCCTCCTGATCTCTGGCCCGAGGAGCCCCAGCTGGCTGACAAGCCGGGCCCCTCCCAGACGACCCTGTCGCCCCAGCAGCCTCAGGCCATCCGCTTCCCAAAGGCTGCGGGTTCCCACGTGGACAATATGCGGAAACCCTCCGCATTCTTCAGGATGTCCGCTGCCCTTCCGGCTGCCTCAGCCTTGGCACCCAGGGGGGACCAGCCTTCCGGGCCTTCCCTGGGGGTCCACGTTCCTCTCCGGTGACTCACCACCCACCCCACACACCCAGCACTCTAGGGCTGGCTCAGGGCTGCCCCCCGCTGGATGCCTGATGCCAGACTATCCCTCAGGGTTGGGGGGGTGTCCCCTGCCCACCAAATGGCCCATGGTGCCATGCATGCTGCCCCTGGGACCCCTCACACCTCCACTGCCCTCCAGACTGGCTTCACCTAGGGCTGGGGACAGCTCTCTGTCCATGACGAGCCACACCTCCAGCTCATGCCTGAGGACGGAAGCTACTAGACTGTCCCATCCAGGCTGCCGTCCGGGTGGGCTCTGGAGTCCCCACGCCCAGGAGCAGCTTTGCAGTCCAACCTCCTCTATACCCCTGCAGCCCCCCGAGGGGCAGCTGCCTCATTCTTGGGGCTGGGGCTCAGGGGGCACAGAGCCCTGGACCAGGACAATGCTCAAAGGTGGTCTAGAATATTCCCTTGGGCAACACTGTGGTGCCTCCAGCAAACCTCGTGTCCTCCACCGCCTGGGGCTCTGTCCACTGAGGGCTAAAGGAGGGTCCAGGCCCCGCTTCATCCGGGTGGGGCCCTCACACGAAGCTGACCCGTCGGGATCTGCCTCTCAGAGCTTCGGAGAGGGGTGGGTGGCCCTGAGGCTCCGTGTCTGGATCCTCGTCCAGGAAACTATGCTGGGAAGGGAGAAGCCCTTTCTCTATACCACCTGCTACCCAACCCGCCAGGGACACCAGGGGACCTGACCCAGCCTGTGGCCAACGGGAAAGCTGTCTGGGCCGCACGTCTGGGCCGCGGCACGCACACGTCAAGTGTGCACCCCACGCCCAGTCTGCACGTGTGCACACACGCTCTCGGGGTCCAGGTCCTCACTCAGGTCACCAGCGCCCTCCAGACTCACCTGCATGTGCTCAGTCCAGTTCTCCCGACACCAGCTACCCTGCAAGAGTGAGGGACAATTCTAGAAGCCAGAGACACTGTCCCACCCGGAGCATGGCCCCCTCCTCCCCACCCCAGAGCGGGCTCTAAGCAGGGTACACGCACCTCCACGACACAGGTGGCGCAGGGCCGCCAGGCGCTGCTGAGCGACGGTGTGGGGACACAGCGCTGTGGAAAGACCACAGAGCTCAGGGCAGGACAGGGCCTGCACCCTACGCCCTGCCATGGGTGGCCAGACTCCCAGCCTCCAACCACTTCCGGGGGCTCCTGGAGCCCCTCCCTCCACCCTGGGGACAAGGGAGGGCAGCCCGGTCTCTGCAAATGCCACTCCACACTCTCCAGGCAGGACCCTTGGGCCGGGGCATTCCCGTCCCGTCCTTCTGTGGGAGTGTGAGTCCTCCAGGAAGAGGCCGTCTCGCTCACATGCTGACAACCGATGCCTACGAGCCGGCCTCACTCCCAGGTAGGGCACCCCCTGTCCACCCATCCCGCTGTCCAGCCATCCCGCTGTCCAGCCATCCCCCTGTCTACTCATCCCGCTGTCCACCCATCCCCATCCACCCATACCGCTGTCCACCCATCCCCCTGTCCAGCCATCCCGCTGTCCAGCCATCCCCCTGTCCACCCATCCCGCTGTCCACCCATCCCGCTGTCCACCCATCCCCCTGTCCAGCCATCCTGCTGTCCAGCCATCCCGCTGTCCAGTCATCCCCGTCCAGCCATCCCTCTGTCCACCCATCCCACTGTCCAGCCATCCCGCTGTCCAGCCATCCCCCTGTCCACCCATCCCGCTGTCCACCCATCCGGCTGCGGCTCCCTGCTCCTGGGGCTGGCTGTCCTTGAAGCCTGGCAGTGTGGATGGGATGCTGGCCACAGGACAGTTAGGGACCTGGTCTTCTAAGGACCCTCCACGGGAGTGTCTGCCCCGTGAGCACCCACTTCCAGCATGGGGAGTGCCCTTGTGGTGGGGCCACCGTCCACACACAGCTAGCCAGCCAGTGACTCTGGGGCACTGCTCCTCCTCCTTCCTACCCGGGACCTGAGGGCTCCAGACCCCAGGAGGCCGCTTGGGAACCTGAGGCCACACTGAGAGCGAGGGGGACGGAGCCTGAGGAAGGGAGGGACGGACGGGTGAGCAGGCAGGGAACAGGAGCTACGGCCGTCTGGCCAGGGCACAAGGTAGCCGACGTGCTCTCTGGGGCCCCGCTCAGGCTCGGATCTGCAGACAGAAGCCGGCCTCTCAGACGTTCCACACTTCGAAGCATCACTCTGCCAGTGGGGACTGTGTCCAAACGTCTCGTGGAGGCAGTACCCCCACCAAGGATGGACCTTGAAGGCAGCCTGGCCAACTGGCCCAGACCCGAGCGCAAACCTTTAAAGGAAAGGCACAGGGGAAGCAGGCCGGCCACTCGGCACGCGCTGAACACCCAGAAATGCGACAAAATTCAAATACGAGCCAGACAGCACGCTGAGGGCTCCCTGGGGGGGCGCCACCTGGGACCCAGGCCTGGGGGGACTGGTGGGGAGCTCGGCCTGGAGAGGCAAGCACTCCCTGGCCTGCCATCTGGGTCTGACGTTGGTGTGTGAGGGACCTGGGGCCAGCGGGGGAGGCCACAGACGGGGCCTGGCAGCACACAGTCGTGAAGAACGGGAGACCCAGGAGGGTGGGTGTCCTCCCCACTCCCGAGCAGGGCCCCTGAGCAAGGAACCCCCAGAAAGCACCTGCCACTCCCCTTTTGTCCCACAGCCCGCCAGACTGCACACAGGTGGGGCACGTCCCTGTTGTTCAGGGGTGTCTGCACACCAGATCCGCTCCTGCCTTGCACTCAGCCGAGACCTGTGGGGTGGGGTGGACCTCAAGGGGACACACCCTGAACAGAGGGGAGCCAGGCTAAGGCTGGCCCAGCACCCCCAAAGACTCCTCTGGCCCCAAGCCCTGGGCCCAACACAGCCATGACCTGACCTTCAGGTGGGGACTCTGGGGGTCAACAATGGCACTGCAGGGCTGCTGGGAGGATGGACGGCCCCACCCAGAGCATCCTCAGACCTCCACGCAACCTGCCCACCAGCCCTGACTTCCCCGAGCTGCTCCTTCCAGTCCTGAGTCCTGGGTGGGAAGAGCCCCAGGGAGACGAGGACAGCCTCATCGCGGCTACCATCGACTCCGTGAATGATTCCGTGCTGAGAGCCCGTGGGAGCTGCACTGGCAGGCAGCCTGAACTGGGTGCCCACCCATGTTCCCACTGGGGGACGCCAGCAGGGCTCCCCCACCCAGCACCCACGGCTGGTGCACAGGTGACCTTGGAGGCCCCTATGGGGGTGGGGGGGAACCTCGGGGGGGCCACTCCTTCATGTCAACACAGTGCTCTAGTTCTCCAGATGCTGGGGCAGGTGCCCCATACTCCAGACCTCCCAGTTCCCCAGACCCTGACACCCCCAGAGGTCTTTGTTGCTGGGACCCACCTTGGAGAACCTGAAATGCCCCCCCCCCCCAGTCTCATGCTGTGGCTGAGGGCGGCTCCTTCCCACTGTTGCTTCCCCGGGGCTTCCGGGGTCCCTCCGGCTGGCTGGTCCTCCTAGACCTGGCTCATATGCTTCAGAGGTGGGGTCCCCCAGCCACCATCAGCACAGCCAGCAGCTCCTGGGTCCTCGCTGACCCTGACTGCCCAGCACAGCAGCCCACAGGCGTCCACACACCTTGTTGATCTCCCTGTGTACCCCCCACCCCGGTGCCACCAGGTGGTCTGTTTAATTAGAAATCAAAGCCTCTAGGCGATGTGCTTCTCTCTGTGCAAAAGCTCCAAAGACTGCCCTCCTTTCTGGAGGTGGACACCTTCATCCAAGAGCCAGAGAACCCATGTAATTTCTCCAGGATGACAGAAACAAGCGTGATGACGAGCCTCCGAGGGACACACAGAAACAGATGCTGACCAGGGCCGGGGCTGGGACGTGGGTACACACCCCAGAACAACGGTGAGCAAGACAGCCAAAGAAAAGCCAAAATCAGAAGTGCGTTCAAGCATCAGACAGCCGCACAAAGTGTGACAGCACATCTGGAAGACGCCACGGGACAGCTTTTAGAGCTGAAGATACAACGATCGCAAGGTAAGCGGTGGGCGTGTCTTGTCCTTTGTGGGACGCGGATGAGGAGAGGCTTGGTGCAGTGGGAAAGAGGAGACATCACCCGAGGGGATGACCAAGAGGACACTAGAGGGTGGGGGAGGAGGTCACACACACATAAGGATCCAGAGAACAGCGGAAGAAAGCAGGAGAAGCCACGTGTGAGATCGTGACTTACAACTTTCCAGAACCGACTGGAGACAGCAAGCCCTGGACTCACAAAGCCCGTGAGTACCAGCAAGACAAGGAGGACGCATCTGTAACTAGGCTCCTCTCAGGGAGGCCCAGAGCATCAAAGACAAAGAGATTATCCCAAGAACAGCCAAAGGGGAGAAAAAGAGACAGCTTTCAGAGACAAGAGAGTAGATTTCTTCGTAATAACACATTTCAACCCAAGGGACTGACATTGTACAAGGCATGATCTCTGATCACGGTGAGACCGAGCTCACACCAAGACAAAAAACCAAAACCAAACAAATGAAAACCAAAAAAGAAAAATGTCACTTGGCTTGGAAATTAAGAAAATAAAAGAAAGTAAGAAAAACTTATAATAGAAATTAGAAAATATCTTGAGCTGCGCAGTAATAGAAATAACATAAAGGTGGAGTGTGGAGAGTATTTCCGGAGAAAGAAGGCTGACATCTAGCTTGGGGGGCAGGCGAGCAGCGGAGAGAACCGGAAGCCGAGGGCAGGTGGCAGCAGTCAGCCGACAGCATTCCCTCAAACGGCCGATCAGCTTCCGCACGACAAAGAAATCATCGACAAAATGAAACAGTGACCTACGGCATGGGAGAAAATACTGGCAAACCACATTCCTGATAAGGGGTGGATATTCAAAACACATAAGGAACTCACACAACCTAATAGCAAAAAAAAAAAAAAAAAAAAATCCCAAATAGCCCAATTTAAAAGCGGGCAGAGAAACTGAATAGACATTTTCTAAAGAAGACAGTCAGACGGCCAGCCGGTACCTGAAATGGTCCAGGCGTCACTGATTACCAGGGAGGTGCAAATCAGAAGGGTTTCCACTGGACAAAAACATGAAATGAGAGGAGGGGGGAGGGGGCAGGATAAGGGAAAGGGGACCAGCCTCGGCCCCTGCTCCCAGGGGTCACTGCAGGTGGCAGAGGGCTGGCAGACTTCTGTCCACTGCCCAATGCCCAGGGCCCCTGGCGGTGGGCAGGTGACAGGAAGGGGGGTCGGTGGATGGCGGCCAGCCCCAGCACCCCCGGGGTCACCCAGGGCACGGGGCCCCACTCACCTGGGTCCAGGCCCTGCCGACTCAGCACTCTGGGGCTTAGCCTCTCTAGCCGCAGGGGAGTCACCTGTGGGAGCTGCATGCACGGGAGAGACACAGCTGCTGTCTGGTGGCGCACACACGCACAGTTGGACACGCAGGTCATTCTCTGAGCCCCGCAGAAAGAGCAGCCTGGCACCGTGTCCCGCCCGCCATGCTCCTGCCACTCACACGTCCATTCCGTCACGTCCAGTATTTGCCTCGGTTTCCAAGTAACGAGCCCGGACGTGAGCTCTCACTCTCCAGTGTCAGGCCTTCCGCATGGACATCTAGCCACGGAAGGCGCCCCGCCCCCGTCCCCCATCACCCTCCGCCCCCGCCCCTCCATCACCCCCCATCACCCCCCGCCGCCGCCCCTCCTCCCACACCAGCGGCCACGTTCCCACCTAAGTCAGGACACACTGTGTTTACACCATCTCGTGTGCAGACACGGTCAGCGCAGACCAAACCCCTTCTCTTCAGGGTTGGTGCTTGTCTGGTTTTATCAACTCCTTCGTCTCCAGACCTCAGGACCTGACCAGCCTCACCCTGAGTGAATGAGGAGATTCAGGCCGCTTCCCCACCCCCGAAGCCCGGTGTGCGCACAGATGAGCTGGAGATGGGGACAGCAGAGGTCTGCGCTCTGCCTCACACTGGCTGGACGGTTTGGCTGAGCTCAGATTTTGGGGTTGAACCCGCTCTCCCTCGCATGGGGCCGACGATGCTCCCAGAATCCCGTGTGATCCCTGCTCTGCCCTGGGTCTGCAGCGGGGGTCCCATCGGCTCTGGCCGCCCTGCACACTGGCTACATGGGACCCAGGCCCCTCGGGAATGAACGCCGTCCTCTCTTCTTACTTTCTGGGGTTCCCCGTATTCAGATGTTGGCCCTTCTTGACAGGATCTCTAATCTTTCATCTTTTCTCTCTGATTTTCATTGTTCATCAATTTTGCACTTTTTGGGAAGACATCATCAAATTTACCCTCCAAAACTTTACTGAGCTTTTCTCTTTGTCGTTGTGCGTTTTACTGATGAGAGCTCTGTTCTGTGTTCTGAGCTACCCTGACTGGCACTGAGCCTCAGCCCTGTCCTAGCTATGCCCGCACACACATGGCCCAGGGTCCCCAGGGTCTGGCTGACTGCCAAGCAGTGCGGGGCCTCGGCTCCCGGGCCCTCCTCCGGCTCTGTGCTGGACCCCACGTGCTCCTGGGGGCTGCAGGCTCAGCTTTCCAGCGCGGAGCACCACGGCCTGACCCCTGCCGCGTGCCCAGACTCCCCTGTGGTCACTGCCTCGCTCATTCTCTCAGAACGTCGTCTTCATTGTCCAGCAGACGACAATGCGTTTGTTTCTCCGCCAGGAGCGCTCTCCACAAACTGACCCATCGTGAGCAGCAGGGACCCCAGGTGTCCTCGCACCTGAGGACCCACCACCCACAGCTCAACACGGGGTGCGCAGCCCTGCCCCCTGGCCACGCATCTGACCAGCAGAGACCACGTGCCAGGACCTGAACTTCCTGCCGGCGGTTTCGTGGGGTCTGGACTACCTCACACATTCCTCCATGTCACGTGTGTGACGTGTGTGCTCCAGCCGTGGGGCTGTGGACAGTCCTTAGGATCCGTCCCCTGCTTGGGGACCAGGAATAAAGCTGCTGCGAGCACTCCAGTCTCTTCAGAGACAACCACCCACGTCTCCTGGCTTCGTTCCAGCGCTGGATTTGCGTGGCGGCCCGAGCACACGTTTCGCTGTGGCCGGCTGCCTCGAGTGGCCGTGGTGCGCTCACTGTCCCCAGTGCGGCACGGGGGTTCCAGGTCCTCCACGTCCTCCCTAACGTTGGGTTTGCCAGACGCTTCCATTTTGGCCACTATGAAGGAGGCTGTTGCATCTTTTGCAAATATTTTCTTCCATTCTACCCTTGTCTTCTCATTTAAAAGATTTATTTATTAATTTGACAGAGAGAGAGAGAGAGAGAGCATGAGCACACAAGCAGGGGCGGAGGAGGGAGAAGCAGGCTCCCCACTGGGCAGGAAGCCTGACTCGGGACTCCATCCCAGGGCCCTGGGGTCAGGATCTGAGCTGAAGGCAGACGCTTAATGACTGAGCCTCCCAGGCACCCCTTGTCTTCTTAATTTTTATAATACTTTATCTGGGGGCGCCTGGGTGGCTCAGTGGGTTAAAGCCTCTGCCATCGGCTCAGGTCATGATCTCAGGGTCCTGGGATCGACCCCGCGTCGGGCTCTCTGCTTAGCGGGGAGCCTGCTTCCTCCTCTCTCTCTGCCGGCCTCTCTGCTTACTTGTGATCTGTCTGTCCAATAAATAAATAAAATCTTTAAAAAAAGAAAAAAAACTTTATCTGTAAGTAACCTCCGCACCCAGCATGGGGCTCGAGCCCAAGACCCTAAGATCGACAGCCTCGTGCCACACCAACTGAACCGTCAGGTCCTGTCTGTGTCCCTTCCCAGACACAGTAACGGCGACGACACACCACACGAGGGGGGCTGGGCTGAGGGCCGCACACGCTGTGTCAGCTTCGTCGTGTGGTGAGTCCCACAGCCCGTGAGACAGGCGAGCTTCATGCCATTTTAGGGCAGAGGAAATAAACCCAGGAAGTGAAAGGACTTTCTGGGCCCAGGAGGTCCACCCCAGAGCCCAGGGCCTGCATCTCAAGGCGGTGGTCCCAGGGCTGGGCGGCTCGTGGTGCGGGATCAGGCCACCGCTGGCCGAACACGGACGGCGCCTGAGGAGCTTTCAAGGTCCTCCAGCCGCGGCCGCCCCCATGCCCCACCTCCGCGTGACAGCCTCGCCTCACACACACACGCAGCTTAGACCCCCATGGGCTCCACGTGTGTCCCAGATGAGACCTGTTAGGTGAAGGGACAGTGTGACTTCCGTGTGTAACGCATTGTTCACGCGATGTGGAAGATTATTTCTGTTCATTGAAGGGACCTAACGGGCTCTCGTCTGGCTCCTGCCAGGTGCAGCCTCTGGGTTCCAGAAGCCGGTCTCTGGTTGCCCGAGCTGTGACGTGCAGACCACGCGCATGGCTTTCCCGAGCACCTGTCACCCGTGCCCTACCCTGTGCCCCCGGGGGCTCACCTGGCCACAACTCTGATGTCAAAGCCGGGCTGGCACCAGGAGTCCAGGAGGGCCAGCAGCCTCCTCTGGAGGTCTGGGAAGCCGGCTACGTAGCGCTCTGCGATGGCCACCCTGTCCTGCAGGAGCAGCGGAGTGCTCACCTGTGAGGGAGCACGTCCTCGGGTCACAGCCTGCAGGGGCCTGGACCCTCCACCCCGGGTCAAGACCCCAGACTCACCTCCAACCCAGAGCCTCGGAATGGAGAGGACCAGAGGCCCGTTCGCGTGCCCTGGCTCCCTTGGGGGGGGCGGTGCAGAGGCCCAGCCACATGTCTCCTGGCTCCCAGGGCACCCTGGGAGTACACCCCAGCCTACACCCTGGGCCTGCACTTCACACACCACACACACCCATACACACACCCACACACACGGGCCCCATAGCTCCCTGGGGCTCTGTGGTCATCCCCATCTCCATTACAAAGGACTGGAAGCCCCAAGAAGCAAGGGGGATCCCGGGGAAGATCAGCTGTCCCCCTGTCTTCACTGAGCTGTGGGGGAGGCATGAGGGAGACCAACCACGGGCAGCCGTCCCGGTGGCCTGGGAATGCCTCCTCATTGGCACAGGTGGCATGGCTGTGCATGGGGCCCAAAGAGCCCTGAGCTGCCCAAGCCCACCAGGAAGCTCTGAGGAAGCCCCTGGCGGGGACACTGGGCGTTGGGACATTTAGGCCATTTCCACCGCAGGCCAGGCCTCAACAAAGCCCCCTCCCAGTGGTCCCAACAGTAGACCCTTCCTCAGCTCCTCTCCTCTCCATGCGACCACACAGGTCAGGCTGCCTGGAGCCCAGACTCTACAGGGACCATCTGCTAGGCTGGGACCTCAGGGTGGTCCTCATGGGGAGCCCCGTTCCTGAGAGCCCCTCTGGCCATGGCTCCGGAGCCCATCCCACCTAAGTCCAGCGACGGCCCTCCAGGGCCCCGCCCCCATGGGCCTTCCTTGCAGGGTCAGGTGCTCCCAGGGGAGCCCCCCGCAGCAGGAGCAGAGGCCGGGCCTCAGTGGTAGGAGAACCCTTCCCCCCGGTCATGGTTCTGGAGACTCTGGCTTTATCTGAGCTGGAACCCAAATGATTCCCGTGAAAAGGACCCTTACCTTTTCAACATCGAGTAGGGGCTGCAGCCTCAGCTTCAGGCCCAGCAGAGCAGCCTGGCGGTCACAAACGGAGCAGGTCACGCCAGGCTTGGTAGGGAGCGGGCAGCACCGTGGTGGGGCCCTCCCATCCTTCCACACCTCCCAGTCACGGCAGGCACCAGGCCCAAGGGCCTGGAATCCAGAAGCCTCCCAGCAGACAAACAGGCTCCAGGAGGGGGGCAGGTGGGAAAGACCCGGCCGGGGGGACCTGCCAGGCTGGGGTGTGGCCCAGATGGGGCGTCAGGCTGGGCACTGGGCCACAGTGGCTCTCCCCGGGGGTGCTGCTGAGCAGACTGAGGATGCAGAGGGAGGGCGGACAAGAGGCGGGCGCTCTGCCACGCCCCCAGACACGGCGCACTGTGGCTCCCCAACACCCGCTCTCGCCTGCCCCTTGCCTCCCAGGAGCGGGTCTTCTACCTGCAGGCGCCCGGCACGGACAGTCACAGTGCCCCAGCCCGGAGCCAGGGCTGTCCCCCTGAAGGCCTGAGGTGCAGGGCCCTCCGAGCACTTTCCGCAAGGCCTGCTCTGCGTGTAACCCCAAACCACGAATGACTGCACAGCTGTCTGTCCAAGCGGGCTGGCCCACAGGGGAGAGGCTGGAGTAGGACATGGTGTGGTCCGTGTGTTTTGGGGGGACGCACAGAGCTGCCCCTCAGGCGCACAGAGGAAGAGGCTCTGGCCCTAGCTGCGTCCTGGTGAGGCAGGGAACACAGCGGCCCCAGGAATGGGATGTGGGTGCTGAGAGCCCCGAGCCGCAGGGCCTCGCTCACACTCGGCACAGAGAGCGCCAGGGCCCTGAGTGCCCGCACGTAGCGCAGGCCCGGCTACTATTAATAATTTCCATACATCGTGCTCCCATTATGAGCAAAAATAACCAGCAGAGGGCCGGGCGCCCCGCCCCACACAGCTCACACAAAGGACCAAAATAGCGGCCTGGGAAAGGCTCGCTCCGGCCTCCGGCCTCCGGCCCCAGACCGCGCAGGGTGGGGGCGCAGGGCCAGGGGCCTTTCCCTGCGTGGAGCTGACCCAGCGCCTCCACAGCCTGGCTGCGGTCCAGGGCTCCACGGCCTCCAGGCCCCTGGGGGCCCAGGGGTGGGGGTGGGGGCGCCGGACGGGGGGGCAGGGCCAGGGGAGGATGCAGAGGGGGCAGGGCCAGGGCTGAAGGAGGGGGAACCACATCGCTACTGGATGGGAGACCCCCTGAGAAGCGAAGGGAGCACCGAGCCTTCATCCGGGAGCCCCCCACCTCTGCATGGCCCCGCATGGCCAGAAACTGGGGTAGTCACAACCCCGCTGCCCGAGTCCGGCTAGCTCCTGGGCTCCTCTGGGGTCGACACCTGAGCTGGGCTTGGTCGAGCCAGGCCACTGTCGGGGAAGGGGCTGTGGGAGGGGTACCTGTGGACTTGGGACCCTCCCACCCTCCAGACCAAGCTGGGGGGGCCAGTGACCCTGGGAGAGATGAAGCAGGAGGAGCCACAAGTCAAGGGGCCAGAGGGAGAAGCAGAGAGGACCCCGGGGGCCTGGCCTCACCCGACCCTCACTGCCTCTGCTGGGGTGTCAGCCTCTGCCATCCTCTACCTCTGCTCCCCCAAGGACAAGACTTCCTCTGTGCTCTAGGCCCCAGCCCTCAGCAGGGCATGAGGGGACGCTTGCCCCCTACCCATCCAACAACCTCTCTGAATCCTGGGGCGGGGCCTGGGTGAATCAGGCTTGGGGTGTGAGGGACTGGCGGCCTGGGTGAAGGGGGGCAGGGCGGGGCCAAGGGAGGTTGGGCACTGCCCTCCACCGCAGCACGGGGAGCTTTGCCATAGATGGCAGCCTGCTGCCCAGTCCCCAGCCTCCCTCTGTCCGCGGGGACGGCCTCTCTCTCCAGGAGCCAGTGAAGGGCAGGGCAACCCTCTGCCAATCCCAGCCCTCAGGGTCCCTGTCCGTGGTGCCCACTGGCTTCAGGAAAGGGGGCTCGGGTGGAGGTTCTCAGGCTGTGCTTGGAGCCTAGCCCTACGCACCCCAGGTAGGCGGCTCAGGTCTCATGGGCACACACCCCACCTGGCCACACAGTGTCTGTCCTAATGGGGGTCAGTGGGCTCACACGGCCCTTCTCTTCTCCCTCCTTCCTCCACAGCCGCCAGCTTCCCATCCGGCCAGCACTCGGGGTGACCTCTCTCAGCCCGCGTGGGTGCTACAGGGCACAACCAGTGTGCCCAGAGCCGGGTGACCACCCACATCCTGGGGACAGTTTGGGACACACCCCCATTCCGCACCAGCAGCCCTTGGGTGGGGTGGGCAGGGTGGCACAGGACAAGGAAGGGGGCAGCCGGGGTGGGTGCCCTGGGGGGACGGCTGACAGCAGAACCCTTGGGCTGGCTTCTGTCTTTGGAGGGGGGGTCCATGTAGATCAGCCACTGTCATCAGGCCCAGCTTAGGATCCATCTCTGGTCATTTTTCTGCCTGAGATTCTGCTATGGGGACAGGAGACCAAGCTATCCGCTGCCTACTGCCTGGACACACGAGGGCCCCAGCAGGCATGGGAAGGTCACCTGCTGACTCAGGCCCGTGGGACAGGCAGGGAGGGTGGGAGAGGCTCAGGCCCCACAGAAGGAAACTGTGAGGAACTAGCACCTCCCGAGCCTTCCTGGCCTTGGCATGGAGGCCACTGAGAAGAGGGACACGGGGCTGCTCAGCAGCTGGGTCAGAGAGAGGCTGTGGACCCCTCTGGCCGGACAGTGCCAGAGCTGCTGCCTTGGGGGAAAATAAGGAAACCCAGAGGGGCCTGGTGGCCAAGGCAGACAGAGTGCTCACGGGCCCCCTGGCTGCCCACTCCGCTAGACAGGAGCGCCAGGCAGGTGCCCAGGCAGCCAAGCCCAGACTCTGCAGCCTCAGACCCAGGACGGGCCTGCCTGCCACCTCCACAGCTCAGCTCGGCCTGGAGCCAAGGGGCCTTCCCCCCCACCCCCCCAAAGCAAAGCTATCTTTTTACCTTGATAAGCTGTTTAAAAAATGTAAATAAAATAACTCAGGAGACAAAAGCGGGCATTCATCCTGCCCGGAGCCGGCCGCCGCCCTGGACATGAAATATCGGTGCACATTAAGTCGTGAGTCCCTGCTAATCCGAGCGGACAGGCCTGAATGCGGCCCCTTTCGCCGGGCGCGGCGGTGGGCACTGGAGCGTGCATCGCCTGCCGGGCCGCCCCACTTGGGGACAATGGCTTTTCTTTGCAGAAGGGGCCTGTGCGGGACAAGAGCCCCCTTTGTGTTGGGATTCCTGCCTTGGAGCACGAGGGAGGTGCATTCAGTCGGCCCTAGACACTCTTTGAAAGGCCCGGGTGTAACAGAAGACGCTGAAACGCTAGCCTGCCTTCTGCCTCCCGCATTCTTGCAAGCCCGGCCGCCCCTTCAGCCTGCGGAGAATGGCCCTGAGCCCCAGGAGCGGAGCCCCTGCCACACTGTCCCTGGCGTGGTCATCTTGGTTTCTCAGCGCCCTTCACCAGCCTCGAGACAAGAGCCTGGGCCGGGGCACGACAGCCGCCAACACACGGCCCGGCCTCCAAGGACCGAGCACTGGCGGTCCAGGTGAGGCCGACCTCGCCATGAGCCTCTTGGCAGGGACTGCCCCTCAGGGAAGAAGATCCCTGTGGGGTGGGCCTGGGATCCTGCCTCAGGGCCCACTGAAGCCCGAGCCACCACGGGTACGGGGAGCAGTGTCCGTGAGCAGCGCTGTCCCCGAATCAGGCTCAACTTTGGGCCCGATGGGGCAGTGGGTAGAGGTGAGTCGGGAGCAAGCCTCTGGATACCCCGGAGCACCAGACGTGGGACTCGGGGAGAGCGTGCCCCTGAGCGGGCGCCCCAGGACCTTCCGCCACCTACCTCCCCCTGGGATGGCCTTCACATCTCAGGGCACAGAGATGCCACGGGGACCCCTGGGCCTGCAGCAACTGCTCACAGCCGCCCCTTCCTCCAAACTGCAGAGCCCTGCTCCCCGGCCTCATGCAGACCCGAGCCACTCCCGGCGCTCCTGGCCCGCCTCCAAGACCTCCAGAGCCCCACCGGCACCACAAGGCTCCTGAACCCACGTCCCCACATCCGCCCTTGCTAGGCCTTCCCAGGACAGAGGAACCAAATGACCCGACCCGGCACAGCCCACGTCCAGGAGCACCACATGTTCTGCAGGACTCTGCCGTCATGACCCGTAACCCGTGCCCCACACCGAACTTCCACAGACACACACGGGCACCAGGCCGGGCCGGTCCTGGGGATCCCTGGTACAGTGAGGATGGGGCTCCGGCCAGCCTGGTCCAGCAAGGAGCCGACAGGACCCTCCAAGTGTCCGACCCTCAGAGGGGCGCCCCCACTGGTCGGATCTGACCCAAGTGAGCCTCCACACAGCAGGAGTTGGGCCATCCCAGGTGGGGGGAGGGCCTCTTGAAGGGTCCAGGGAGGTGGCAGGCCCAGCGGGCAGGGCCATTGAGGGGCTGTTCCTGTGGCCAGACCCTGCCGTGAGAACAGCAGCAAAGCAGCCAGTCCCCAGGCCTGGTGCAGTTGTGGGCCCCCCACAAGGACACAAAGGACGGTTCTGTCCTCAGCCAGCAGCAGCTGGAAGTAGCTGGGCCCAGAGGGAACCGGGCTGCTCGCCCCCAGGCCACGACAACACAGAGGCCGAGTGACTTTGCTAGTGGGTGCGAGGGGGCCTCCAACCCCGTCCGGTCACGTGGGTGCTCCCTGGCCTGGGAGGGCCTGGGCTTGCAGGGGTGGCGAAAGGGGTGGGGACTGTGTGCAGGAGGGACCCCACACCCTTGACCCTCTTAGACCCCACAGGTGTTCCTGGGAAGTGACAAATGAGGCTGGGTGAGCGGCTGGCCCACGGGGCTTCCAGGCCAGAGCCAGGGTGTCCTTGGGCCGCGGACCCCATTTGAGGACCCGGTGGCACCTCAAGAGGAAGGACCCCAGGTGCTGGGGCAGAGAGCCAGGCAGGTGCGGGGGCCGCTCCCAGAATCCTCCAGCTCAGTGCATGTGAGTGTCTCCTAGGGCCCCAACGTCTGGCACAGCCCTGAGCTCGGTCTCTGGGGGACTGGTCCCTGCAACCCTCTGCACCAGACCTGACACCCCTCAGCCCTGGGCAGCCCCCAACAGTGGAGGGCCCAGAGGAAACCGCCAGGGGGGCCCTGTGAGCCCACTCAGCCTAGCCCTTGCCTGAGCCCACATGCAGGCCCAGTTCCCGGTCCCCGGTCCACGCGGGGCTCACACTCACTTCTTTGAACTTGCCTTCCTGGTGGAGCCAGTGGACGTGAGTCAGCAGGGGGCCCCGGTCTGCGTCCTGCAGCTGGAAGATGCTGGCCAGCGGCTCCACGAGACCAGAGGGGCTCTCAGCGAGGACCCTGACTGCACGGGCCTGCAGCTGCTTTGGCCCCGAGCTGCCCTGGGAGACCAGAGAGCTGCCCTCAGCTGGGGAGCGGGAAGGGCACTGCAGCCAGGGTCACGGGGCCGGACAGACCTGGCTGAGGAGTCCGGCACCTGCAACCCTGTGTCCACAGTGGACGGTCCAGGCAGGCCAGGCCTAGAGGCACAGGCGAGGGCGAGGTGTGGTTGTGGGGGGGGGGCGATGGTCAAGCCCACGGACGCAGGAGCCCAGTCAATCCCAAGGTGCCAGGCCCTGCCCACCCGGGGTGCCGGAGCTCAGCGGGCTACACAGGCCGGGTCAGGCTGGCCGGGAGCCCACGGTGCTGAGAGGGACGTAGCCGGTGGGGCCGTGCGCAGGGCTCACCTGGGCCAGCCTTGGGAGCGGCTGTGCGGGCAGCCAGTGCGCCAGCTCCCAGGTGAGCCAGGCCTCCAGGGAGGGGCCCTTCCGCCGCCAGCCCCTGCTGCTCTCCAGCATGTCCAGGAGCACCATCCGCGGGTCGGCCAGGGCCGCAAAGCCCCGCCGGGCCTCCTCCCGGAGCTGCGGAGACATGGAACCTCGCTGCGGCCCCAGGAGGTCCTGCCCCAGACCCCCCTGCCGAGCCTCCCCACCTGCACCGTCCGAGTGCTGAGGGAGGGGACGGGCCGTCGGCACCATTCCCCCTCCTCGTCTCCCGTCCCCGGCGCTCTGGTCTGGTCTGACCCACCGTGCCCTGGGTCCGTCCACCATCATGGCCCCGTAAAGAGGGGCCCCTCTGAGAGGCTGCAGCCGCTGGGCCTCGCCCCACGACCTGTGTGCTGCCCGGGGGACGCATGCTGGTCCTTCAGACGCAGTGACCTGGTTGTGGGGCCCAGCAAGCAATGAGAAACCAAAAAAAGGAGGAAAAAACACAAACTGATAAACACCTTTGATTGACTTTCCCACGTCTTGCACGGCGGAAGGTCTGGAAACATGTGGGAGCCGAAGGAAGAAAGACCTCTCCCTCGGGGGAGCAGGGTGTCGCCCGAGTGCCACCTCAGCCCCCAGCGCGCGGCTGGCTCCGCCTGACTCCGCTGTCCCCTGGAACACCGTGCAACGACGGGTCCGCGAGCAGCCCCGGACTCTTTGCCCGGCCACCCCGAGGGCAGAGCGGCAGGGTGTGGGGTGCAAGCTTGGAAACAGACACCCTGACGCCCGGGGCCACTCTGCGGGGAGCGAGGAGCTGAGGCCCCGGCTGCCCCTGCAGACCTGAGACGGGCGGACCTGAGGACAGCCTCTGACGCGCGACGCCGCCATGACCTGGGACAGGCGGGCAGAGCCCACACGGGGGTGTCAGGGCCCACAGGCCCACTGTCCCCATCTCCACCAGGCCCCACACCTGCCAGGAACGTATGAAAGAAGACACCTGAGGTTGAGCAACGCTGCCTTCCTGCTCATGGAGGAAGAGGTCTCGAGATGCGGCTCCAGTCTTTGGTCCTGACGTGTGCTCGGCTCCCACTCAGGGCCTCTGAAGAGCAGCTCGGAGAGGCTCAGAGCAGAGCGGGGAGGCCGTGTGCTTGGGACCATGTGGCTCCTACCTACCGGCCAGCCAGCCCTTCTCCTTGCCCAAGAGGCCACACAGACCCCTTCCCAGCAAGACGGCCCCTTGAAGCCCCAGACCCACGCCACGGCCAACTGTGGGGTCAGCTCCTTCCGCTGGGGTCGTCCAGCTGCCCTTCATGGTGGGAACCTTCCTGGTGGCCGGCAGAAGGGGAGCGAAGGGGCACGTCCTTCTGAGATGGCTATTGCATATCGTTGGTGCAGCAGTGGCCGTGGCGGCTCCGTCCCCTCCCAGGAGAAGGCTCAGGAGTGCAGCTGGATGGCTGTCAGCTTCTGGGGTCCCCGGGACACTGGATTGTCTCCCTTTGTGAGCACAAAGCGTGGGGGCTCACCCTGACCTACCTGACACAGCTGCACCTCCCCTCTTCCTGCTGCTGGGTACGTCTCAGCCTATCGCTTGAGGCGCCCAGAGGCAAGGGGGCTGGGGCGTGCACATCCCTGCTCCAGCACCCGAAGCAGGAATGGCCCTGCCCCATCCCCGGGACCGCCCGCCGTTTGCAAGAGACACTCACCTGGCCCAGGGCCAAGGCAAGTGCAGCCCTGAAGGAGTCAAGATCCCGTGGGGGTCTGCGGGCCTTGCTGAGAGCCAAGCCACCAGGAGCAGCTCCTTGCTGCCCCCTGGCAGCTGCCATGGAGAGCGGAGGCCTCCCAGTAGGCCCCAGGGACCTCCCCAGGGTTCTGCAGAGAGAGCCCGGGGCACAGGCACCACCTCCCCACTGCCAGTTACCAAGGGACAGTGGAGGGGAATTCATAGGGAGGGACAGACCCCTCTGCTGTTGGCCCCAGGGCCCTTCCTGCGTCTCTGCCCTGGGAGCAGCCTGGGGCCAGTCCGGGCCAGAACATTCTCCTTGGACAGCACCACTTGGGTCTGGAACTCAGAGAGGCACCTGCGTCCTGTCCGTGTGCACCTCCTCCCGCACAGAGGCCCCTGCTGTGCTCGGACAGAGCCTGGCACCCCTAGGCCGAGGGCCCCCGCCCACAGAGCAGTGGACAGGCAACAGGGTGCACAGCTGGAACACGGGCCTTAGCCCTGGCACCCCGTGTGGCTGATGCTTCCTCAGGACCCCCAGAGTACGATCCCCTCAGTCCAAACCATTGTGCCGAGAGATTTGGCCTCTGCTCCCCAGAAGTCAGATGCCGGCTTTCCCCTCAAGCATGCGGGTGAGCTCAGGAGACCCGGCCAGTCTCCCTTGGCAAACACCCAGGAAAGGAGAGGAGGCCGCGAGCAAGGAGGCCCACGGGGTGCTGCGGGGAACGGGAAGGCCATGGGGAACAGGGGGGCATACGGGGAACGGGGGGGGCCGCCTGGGGCTGGGACATCACAGCTGTCCTGCATTTGCGTGTGTTCCTGGCGACAGCACGGACCCCGCGGGAGACAGCGGCAGAGCTCAGGGAGCTCACTGAGCTCAAGGGGAGCTCAATGAGAGGCCACAGAGCACACGGGAATGAGTCACTGTGAGTGACGAACACGGGGCCCCGAGGGTGCTGCCGCCCCCCACCGCGGTCCGAGAGCCCCTCTGGCCCCTGCGGCTGCCAGGGTGGACGCCGTGCTCTCTGGCATGCACTGGCCACTTGCCGCCCCTCGTCCCGGAAGATTTCAGTCCGGGCGCCGTGGCCCCATCTCCGGGGCTGCTCTGCCCCGTGGCCTGGCGGACTGTGTGGACCCTGGCTCCGGAGCTCTAACTGCTGCTCCCTCCCTCCGGCCTGCCCTCTGACTGCTCCCCTAGTTCCCCTCTGCCACCCAGCGGGGTCTGCGCCTTGTCACCCTCCAGCTCGTGCTCCAGAGGGGGAGTCAGCCGCCCCATCCTGGGCTTCAGGGGACCCTGGTGGTTCTGGGACTTGACCAGAGCCGGTGTCCCCGCGGCCCTGCTCCAGCACCTCTGGCCTCCATGGGGCCAGGGTTTCACACAAGCTGCCAGGGCTGCGCCACCTTGGGGAGCCCCATCCTGCCCATTTGCTCACCTCTCCTGTGTCTTTCATCTCTCCGACTATCCCCGCCCAAGGGGCTCTGAGGTGTCCCCGACCCACTGCCTGTCCTCCCAGGCCCCACTGCACACCGGCTCACCTACCCCGCCCGCAGCCTCTGTCCTCCCTACCCCCACGGGTCCCCCGACCTGCTGCTTCTGCTTCGGCTCCCTCTGTGTTTAAAGGAGGAACCACAGCCCCCAGCTCACCCCCCACCATCCCATTTCCTTCCTCTTGATCTCACAAACCCCCAAAGGGCTCTCCAAATCCAGCCTCCAGTTTCCCTGTCCTGTTATGTGGGAGACCCTGAAACTTCCCTGTGCAAGGCTGGCCGTCAGGGCATGGCTCCCCTCGTGGCTTCCCTACTGCCTCGTGGTTCCTACGGGGACCCTCTGCCCACTGCCGCTGGCCCCTGGGGCATCACTGGGTCAGAGCTCACACACTGAGCAGCCCACCCACCTGGCCCCATTCTGGCAAGCGGACCCAGGGGAGATAGCATGCGCCCCTCGGGCAGAAGCTTGGCTGCTGGCTGGAGAGCACCCCACCCTGCACACTCACTTGGTGCACGGGGACCTGCCCCCCGCAGGCCTCTGTGGCACTGAAAGTGAGAATACACAGATGTGCTCCTTCACGGCCAGAAACCAGTTGTGGAAGATCTCAGACAGCTGAGCGTGTGACTAGAAATAAGTAACACGCCGGTCTAAGGGGATGCCTTCCCGAGGGTCATAAAGACGGGCCACGGAGCCCTACCTGCAGAGACCTGTGACTCAGGACTGTAGCGGGACAGGCACACTTGTCAGCGGAGCACATGGGAAGGAAGAGACAGTGGCGCCGGCCAGAGGGGGCTGGAACGCCCAAGGCCCTCGACTCCGACATCTGAGAGTCTCGGATGGGGATCCTCAAGCCGGCAGACACGAGGACAGGGGAGAGATGGCCGCTTCCTAGGGCAAGAAACCAGAAGCTGAAAGCCCCCAAAATGGTCATCCCCAACGTTGGCTCAAGCCCGGCAAGGCAGGACGGTCTGCGTTTTTCCAGACCCTCCAGGACCCAGGAATTCCTGTGGAACCAGTGGCTCCAGGGAACGGGAACAGAAGGAAGGCTTTCAACCCAGTCTATGAGGTCAGCTCACCTTGACCCAGGGGCAGAGACAAACCTCGCCAACACCGCGTGTGCACCAGGACAGGGGACACACCGTGGACGCGCAGAATCCGTGAAGCCAGTTCACCAAACAACACAGTCGCGGTGCTTCCGTATTAGTGCAAAGCCACGGGAGGCAAACATTAAAAAGAGCTTTTGGCTTTGCAAAAACCTTGGCTTTCTCCAGCTGAGGGGGAGAACCACTCCGAGCCTCCATGCGTGCAGTCGAGAGGGGCTGATGGCTGCCGTGGAGCCCAGGCCTGTCCCCCTTCACACACCATTGGTGACCTGTCAAGCCAGATGCTGGTCCCCCGTGCTACAAAGCCAGCCCTGGACCTGGTGGGAGCACCCTAGGCCTTCACAGAGCACAGACGCCTCTCGTCCACAAGCTCGCGGCCCCTCCTGGAAGGCACCTGCACAGGACGCCCACCCCAGGGAGCTCGGCCGGGTCTGGGCACCCTGCCCACCCTCCAATAGCAGCAGGAGGCAAGACATGAGACGTGGGCCTTATCCTGACTTGTCTGTTTTCCGTGGGAGCCAGGGAGAACCTCATCCTTCTGCTGCCTCTGGGAGCAAAGTGCAGGGCAGGGGTGCCCACGGGTCAGGCAAAGTCACCCTCCAGGCCAAGGCCATGGCAGGGCCACCAAGTGCCATGAGAGACCACTACGGCCTCCCTTCCAGGGCCACGTGCATCCCTCAGTGGCCAGATAGGTTGTCCCCGGGACAGGAGGCCACAAGCCAAGGCTAGTCTGAACAGTGAGTACCCTGGCCTCACGGGGTGCATAGGTGGTCACAGCCCCCTGGGTCCATGCTGTGCAGAAGCCAGGTGGTGGCCGCAGGCCCTTGCCTCGTGCTCTCAGCCTCGGGGGCCTGTGTACTGGTGTCCAGTGGGTGTCAGCCCAGGGCTCCGGCCCCCACGTGTCTGCCAGAACTTTCAGACAGGGCGGCCCCTGAGGCCGGAGGAGGGGCCTAGCCCCCGTGCTGTCTCACCTGCCGCAGCTCCCGCGTGGACCACAGTGTCTACAGGGCCTGCAGGAACAGAAGCGGGTCCGGGCCTGGGGGGAGAAGATAGGGCTATGCAGAGCCCACCAACTCCACCCTGACCAAGGCCAGGGGCTCCCCACTGATGCCACCCGGTGTCTGTTGACTCTTGGCCCTCTCTGGCCAGAGCTCCCTTTGCCCCCTCCCTGGGATCTGTGGCCTGGGACCTGTGGCCGTGCTCACTGGGATGGGCTTCTGCCCACAGCTTGGGGGATGCCCAGGCCTCATGTTTCAGCGGTGGTGAGGTGGACGTTGGACTGGCCATGCCGTGGGAGCAGGAAAGGGGCAGCAGACAGAAGGGCCAAGCCCGCAGCACTGACCATCAGGGTGCCGCCCTCCGTGTCACGTCACAGCCCACCCGCATGCACGGCCCACCAAGTCTGGCCTGCAGCCCCTGGCAAGGCCCTAGAGTGGTCCTGTGCTCTGCCTCCCCAGCCCTGCTCCCCCGGCCCCTGGGGCGTCCCACACAGGTTGACCACCCACAGCCCTGGCCCTCTCTTGCTTGCTCAAGTCCCCAGCACAGGGCAGGACAGCTGGACGGGGACCCCACTGGGACACCAGTGCCAGGGAAAGCTGGGTTCACCCTCATGCTGGAAAAGGAGCTGTGCCCTCAGACCCAGTCTCAGGTCAATGCCAGGGCTGGGGGAGCTGGCCTGGGAGGGTGCCGGCCTGGGAGGGTGCCTGCGGCCTGCTCTCCGCTTTGGGAAAGGAAGTGGCCTCTGAGTCACCCACAGCCACCAGCGCCCCTTAGCTGCCTCGGGAGGGCCCGCCCCACCCCTCTGGGCACCTGCCCTGGGGTCTCAGGGCAGGGCCACCATCCCGGGTTCACCACTGCCTTGGGGCTGCAGAAAACCCTCTTTGCCGGGTGAGTCCTGAAGTGAAGGGCCAGTCACTGTCTGACCTAAGACTCCCCAGGCCCATGACGATGTTACAGGGCCCAGGGCCCAGCAGGGCTGCCAGAGCAGCCCGAGTCCAGCCCCAGCCCAGGGAGCTGGGAGAAGCCGTGCTCTGATTCAGGACCCAGCCGTGCGCCTCATGGGGTGGCCGTCAGATTCAGGACCTGAGCCCACACACTGGGGGAGGGGAGGCCACCAACAGATGCCCCCGGTCCTACCGGGGCTGAGGAGCTTGGGGCACTTCACCCGCAAATCCACCCAAGAATTGTGGGGACAACAGCAAGCGGCTGGGCTGCTCGTGAGGGAAAGGCGGGGACACCCGGACCAAACCCTGGAGGGCCAGCCGTCCGCCTGAGGACACAGACTTGGACACCCAGACAAGACAGCAGCAGAGACTGACGCACGGCGCGGGAGATGGAGTGACACGCTGGGTGCATTCCAGAAGCAGGGCTGCTGGCCGGGGGCCGGCGTGCTTCACGGAAGGAGCACGGCAAGAATCGGACGCTGTCGGCGGCCTCAGAACGTCTCGTAAAAGGAACTTCCGTTCCTGACTTAGGAAACGGCCCAGCGAACTCGGAATAGAGATGACTCCATTGCCCAGATGGGGGATGTTTGTAAGAAACACCCCCGGCAGACACAGACCCTGATGCGGGCAGCTGGGAGCCTTCCCCGGGAGACGGGGCCAGCCCGAGGCCGCCCGCTGCCCGTGGAGCACGGCCCGGGGGCCCTGGCAGCTCGGAGCCCGCACCCCGCTCCACTCCGACAAACTGGTCGGTCCACAAGCGGAGTCCGCTCCACGCTCAAAAGGAACGAGCGGCCAGGCCGGGAGAGGGCCCGGAGGCACCTGCACTCCCGAGAGGACGGGGCCGTCCGGACGGGCCGCATGCGGCAGGACCCCGGCTCCAGGCTGTCCCGGGAGAGGCCGGCGGGGCACCCGAGTGTGTGAGGCCGCCCTGCAGATGCATGTCCCCGCGCCCTGCCTGCACCCGCACAGGGCACTCTGCCCGCAGGACAGCCCCGCCGGCCACGGTGGGCTTCGGGTGGCGGCGTGTCTGCAGGGGGCCATGCGGCGCGCACACGGGAGTGGGTGTGTCTGGTGGGGGAGGCTGTGCGTGGTGGGGACATGGGCAATTGCTGTGCCTTCTGGATTCTCCTGTCAGCCTGACACCGCTCTAGAAAGGGTAAGTCTTTAAAAATGAAAACAAAGGGGTGCCTGGGGGGGCTCAGTCGTTAAGCCTCTGCCTTCAGCTCAGGTCGTGGTCCCGGGGTCCTGGAATCGAGCCCTGCATCGGATTCCCTGCTCAGTAGGGAGTCTGCTTCTCCCTCTCCCACTCCCTCTGCTTGTGCTCCCTCTCTGACAAATAAATAAAATCTTTTAAGAAAGTAAAACATTACTTCTCACTGGAAACATAATTTTGTGGAAAGACATGCAGAATCTGAAGAGAAGGTATTAGGGGCGCTTGGGAGGCTCAGTCGGTTGAGTGTTCAACTCTTGACTTCAGCTCAGGTCATGGTCTCAGGGTCGTGAGGCCGAGCGCCGAGTCGAGCTCCGCGCTCAGCCCTGCGCCTGCTTGGGCTTCTGTCTCTCCCTCCGCCGCGCCCCTGCTGCAAGTGCCCGTGAAGAGTAAATAAGGGGAGGGTTAGAGTTACTTGGTTGTAGCTTGGACACTGAACACAAGGCCAATGCTAAAACCCCACTGTTCCCCCGTATACAAGTAACAAACAGAAATAAACATTACAAACAATTACAACAGCGCAAAAAAATTCAAATTTCTTTGGATAAACCTAACAAAAGAAATTTACGCAAAAAAACAAAAACAAAAACAAAAAACAACAACCCCATGAAACACTGAGAAAAAAATTAAAAGACCTAATGAAGGAAGGGCCATTCCATACACTAAAGAAGAGAAGCTGTCGCCCGCCCCACAGCTGGTCAGAAGACGCCGTGCTGTCCCACCCCCAGCGGCGGGCTGGGTGGGTGTGCCTACGTGTGCCCCGTCCTAGGTCCGCCAAGACTACCCCACCCGGCGCCAAGAACGCCCTCGCTAAGGCTGAGCGGCCTGCAGGGAGCAGCCACGGGCCAGCGCAGAGACCCAGGGCCAGAGTGGGCACTCAGGGGACCCTGAGGCGTGACCCGGGCGGCCATGGAGTGCAGGAGCTCCATGCCCCCACTGAGGGCGCCGAGCATCGCTGGCCTCACGCCTGCATTCGCTGACCGTGAAAGACAAAGAGAGCCTCTGGGAGGACATCCTGATGACCTCGGGGCAGAGAGGTCTCCCCAAAAATACAACTTCGGACAAGAGTCCCACTAATTAAAAGGATCCTGCAGGAAACTGCAGGACATGTCCTGCCTGGGCCTCATCCTGAGTCGTCCCGCTGTCTAAGGGGCCAGCAGCCGAGACCACGGACCCACCCAACAGCTCTGCCCTGGGCGCGCCCCCTGCCTGGCCCCTGCAGTAGGGCACTGCCACCAGCTGAGGACCTGCCGTTTGTCCCTCCTGGGCAGTGACCACACTGGCCTTGTTCAAAGCTGTGGTCTGGGCCTTGACGGGTGCTCCAAAGTGAGCTGGGGACGGTGCATGAGGCAGCTGTGCGTGCCCACACTGGGTTACCAGCTCCAGTGGCCTCGGAAAGACCCCTGGAAGCCCAAGGGGCAGCTGGAAGGGACCTGAGGCAGGTCTGTGTGGGGTGGGGCATGGCAAGGACATGGCCTGGCGGCCAGAGAGATGCAGGTGGGGCACGTGTAGTGAGGCAGGGAGGACCCCTAGGCTGAGCAGGGCTCCCAGGCAGACCCCCAGCCAAAGACACAAAAAGGAGAGCGTCGGGAGGTGTCTGTCTGAAGGGATAGATAAGCAAGCTAAGTGTCACCTTGCAGGGACCTGGAGGGCCTGGGTCCTGGCAGCTCTGACTTAGGGATGCTGGCAGGAGGCCGGGCTGAGGATGGCACGTGGGAGCCTGGTGCCAAGGGGCCTCTGTCCATAGGACGGACATCAGCCATGCCCATAGCCTGGCAGGGCCCTCACCTCCCCCCCAAGGCCTGGAGCCCGGCCGAGCCCAAGTTCCCAGCTAACGCCCATCCTGACATCTTGCACCTGCTGATAGGGTCAGACAGCAGGTCGGGGGCTGGAGTCAGATGGCCTCTGGTCTGTGCCTGGTCCCTGACCCCATCCCGGGACCATGAGGGTGGGGACGGGGCAGGAGGCTCTGTGCAAGGGGGGCACCAAAAAGCAGCTCGGTTTCAGGGGTCAAACCTCTGCACCCACAGCCTGGGCTGCTCCTCTCTGTCCAGATGTGGACCTCACAGGCTGTCCCTGCCAGCAGCCTTCCAGCACATGGGTCTGGTGGCCTCAGGCTCCTGCCGTGCGGGGGCCAGGCACCAGGAGTCACAGGGGTGACCCCCCCTGCCCTGTCCCCACCCCCATTCTCCTGTTTCCCCAGTGCCCACCAGACACCGAGAGCTGCCAGCTGCCCAGGGGGGCTCCTGAGGAGCCGACAGGAGGGAGAGAGCTGAGCTGACTCGGTGGCCCTTACTCCACGAAACAGATGCGTTCTGGAAAATAACCCAGCAGCCAGGCGAGCATAGCGACCACCTTCCCTTTCCCGTCTGGAATCCGGGGTTAGAGGAAACATGAACAAAGTGGGCCTTCCTCTCAGGGGAGCAGGGGCCGTGGTGGGCGGGGCTGAACTGTGCAGGGCACACCGCCCCCCCACGCGGCCTCCGTGTGGCCCCCTTGCCTAGGCCCCCCGCCCTCCTCCAGGGACCTGGGCCAGGACCCGCAGAGGCTCCCGCGGCCAGGCTGGAGTCCCACTCGGCACAAGCCAGGGGCAGTGCCGGACGCCCCGAGCCCGGCTGCCCATCCAGACCCACCATCTCTGCAGGCCATTGCTGTGTCCACCTCCACCCCCGGGGATGGCCATCCTGACCCTGCCGGCCCTCGGGCAGCTGCAGAGCGCCAGCATCCAGCCACTGTCGCATCTGCATCTGCAGACCCAGATGCGGTCTTCCGCCCAGCCCTCTGCAGCACCCAGTGCCAGAATGTCCACTCCATTTGCGGGGTTGGCGACGTCCTGCCTCCCAGGACACAGGCACGCGGTTCCTTGGTAAAGGTGGGGATTGCCACTCTCTCCAGATCACATTTCTGCCCCTCTCGGTCCTGGGTTCCAGGGTCTACCCTCCTCAGGACATGATGGTGGGCTCAGCCCTTCCCGAGCAGGACTCAGTGACGACAGGTGGCAGGCAAAGAGAAAGGGCCTTCCTCAAAGCCCCCAAGTCCAAACCCTGCAGAGGCCCCCCAGCAGCACCCCCACCCGACAGGCAGGATAAGGTCTCCTGTGGGGGCCGCCCCACCTGGGAAGTGGGATGAGAAGG